GGGGCGGTAAGGGATGTGTGGGCAGGGAGAAAAGTGCAACAATGAATAAGTGGAAATCCAAAATCTCTGTAAATGTTCATTAAAATTAATAAAAAAAGAAGGAAAAAAATCAGTTGACCACAAAAAAAACCCCACAATTATTGTTCAGAGATACACTAAATTTTAGCAGTCATAATAGTTTTCAAATTTAAAATTAAAATCTTTGTAGTAATAGTTTAAAATTTTTATAAATGCATCATTTGGTGAAATAATTTCCTCCAATTTTTTTTTCCAAAAAATCTCTGCCTCAATTATTCATTCCTATAGTTCATATTCTAACTTTTTACCAACTCAACATCTGCAACTCTTCTACCATATCAGAAGTGTTCATCATAGGGAACTCTGGTAACCTAGTAGCAAAAAGCTTCTCTGCAATCCCAAAGACATGCAGTTCAAATCCACCAGATGCTCTGCTGGAGAAGGGGGGGGGGGCAATCTCCTCCTGTGCCAGTGGGATCCGTTCAGTGGCACACAATAGGAGAAAACAAAAAAGGAAGAAAAAAAAAAGATGAGCGGGGGAGAAGTGTTCATCCCAAATTTGACTTGTTTTCTCTCCTGCTAATTTAAAAAAAAAAAGTACAATCACTCTGGAAGGCAGTTTGGTGTATCTTCAAAACCTGAACATAGACATTCCATATGATCCAGCTATTCCACTGCTTGGAATATACCCTGAGAGAATGAGAACTGAGGCATAAATGGAGTCTTGTATACCAGTGTTCATAGCATCCTGAAGGAGCAATAATCTTGTAAATTACCACCTAACTTGGGAGGGACTGGACAGCGTTATGCTAAGTGAACTAACTCAGTCACACAAGGAAAAATACTGTATAAGACCATTATTTTAGAATGTTTTGAGGATCCAAGGTGGGGGAGGGTGTGAGCAGAAGAGTGAGGATGAACAGGGAAGGGGGGAATGTTAATCACAGGGTCACACAATTTGATGGGTGGAAGGAGGAGTGGGTAAAGGAAATGGGAAAGATCTGGTGTGAATAACAATATATACAAACTTTTTAAGTAAACCTGTATAAAATAAAACAAAATTTCTAAAAGAGCAAAAAAATAACAAACCAAAATTAAAGAAAATTAGGTATTAAAGTGTATCTCTTGATACGATCACATACACTAAACATACATTGTTAATGTCAAAGAATTAGAGTAAAATAAAGCCCAGGTGAATTTCAACCTAAAAAAAATTTAAAAAGACTGAAAGTTTGCCATTCACACATTCTGTATTTAAAATCAAGGAAAATCTCATGAGTTCTTCTAAAACTATGCCAACACATTCCAAAAGAAGTCACAGTTTAAGTTTCTAAGATAACTGGTTTCATTCATGGGAAGTCAACAAAGTTGGAAAATAAAGAAGTGCCATTAAACCCCAGTGCCTAACACATCTTCCTTTGATCAAAGCTTTAGTGACATAATTTATTTATATTTATTCTTTATTCAACATAAATATTATAAGCTACAAGATGATGTTGGGAAAAATTGAGGGTTAGTCAAAGAGAGGAAGATTCCTAACATGATAGATTGACACAGTCACTGCAGTAATGGGCTCAAGTGTGTCAGAGATGATGAGATGGCACAGGACAGGACAGGACAGGGTTCAGGCCTATTGTTCACAGGGTTGCTATGAGTTGTACTCAACTCAATAGCACCTAACAACAACAAAATATTATATGTTGAGGATACTATCAAATGCTATTTCTTAATTTTGAAATTAACTCAGTGACAAAGTACAAAAATTCTACTGAATAAATTATAAATTTTTTAAAATCTAGACAACAGAAACTAAAAATACTATGATAAAACTAATAATAATAATAATAGAAAGAAGAAACTCTTTTCAGTGTTGGTGGTGGTGATGTTAGGTGTCATCAAGTCAACTATAATCCTATAAAAACAGATCTGTACCTTCCCCTATCCTGCATCATCCTCACAATCTCTGGTATGTTCAAGTCCATTGCCATAGTCACTGTGTCAGTTCACCTTATTGAGCGTCTTCCTGTCTTTCTGACTCCACTTTTCTTTACATAATTTTATTTCCCGAAGACTGGTCTCCCCTGACAGCACACCCAAAGTAATCAATGTGCTGTTACATAAAAATTGACCTTTGTATATTGACCCAAGATTGTTTCCTTCCTCATAGCAAGTTCTCAGGTGTACATGGGGTGGACAGTCAATCAAGGGCAACTTGCAAATACCACACCACCACTGTTGTTATTGTTATGTACTGGTGAGTCAAGTGCGACCCACTGTGATACTATGTACCGCAGATCTGAAACTGGTCTTGTCCTGAGCGTCTTTCTAAGTCTGACACACCAACCCCCATTTCCCCAGTCACTGTATCAATCCATCTCATCTGGGGTCTTCCTCTCCTGCACTGTCCCTCCACCCTTCCAAGCATGATGTCCTTCTCCAAGGAAGGGTCTCTCCTCACCACATGCCCAAAGTATGTGAGATGAAGCTTCAAAATCCTGGCCTCCAAGGAGAAGCTTGGTTTCACCCTCTCCAAGACAGACCTATTTGTTTTCTTGGCAGTCCATGGAATGTTCAAGACTCTTTTCAAAGACCACAATTCGAAGGCATCAATTCATCTTTTGTCATACTTAGTCATTGTCCAGCTTTCTGACAAGTTGTATTCATATATAACTTATATACATGAAACTATAAACACTAAATATTTAAAATAAATATGAAGGTTTCTTTTAAATACTGTCTTCTAAAGGTTTGAAATTTTAAAGTATTATTAATATATTTTTGTTATATTTGTTTTTACTTTGAAGCAATTTCACTTTAACAATATTGCTGTTGTTAGGTTCTGGTGAGTCGATTATGACTCATAATGATCCTATGATGAATGGATCTGAACCTTGCCCTATCTATCATCTCTGATATGCTTAAGCCCTTTGTTATAGTCACTGTGTCAGTCTTGTTGATGGTCTTCCTCTCTTTCACTTACTCTCCATATTTCCAAGCATGATGTCCCTTTACATGGATTGGCCCCTCCTAACAACATGCCCAAAACATGTGAGATGAAGTTTCACCATCCTTTCCTACAAGGACCACTTTAGTTGCACTTTCTCCAAGTTATGTTTGTCTGTTCTTTTGGCAGTACATAGGATATTCAGTACTCTTGTCTAAAACCATAACTCAAAGACATCTAGTCTTCCGCCATCTTTATTCACTGACCAATATTCTGTAACAATACTTCTCCAATATTTTGTCTATGAATAAGAAACTCTCTATTCTTTAAATTTAGTACATATACTTTCTCATAACCTATTCTTCCACATATTAAGAAATGCATTTGGGTTTATGATATCTTCATCCCCACTTTAAGTTCCAAATATTGTCAGCTATAGGAAGCTACAAAGATCCTTCATGGTATTTGCCTGCTAATTTAATAAAATTTTAATAATTCTAAACCACCAAACTACTCTACAGGACAAAGTTCGAGCCATGCACTTCTGTAAATATTTACAACACTGGAAAGAAATCCTTTAATAAAACAGTTTTATTGTGTCCATAGTCCATAGGGAGCTGTGCTCCTAACCCAAAGCTGGAGCCTCTCTCGTGCCTTGAATCCATCAAAATGTCCATGAGGAAAAAGATGGCAATCTCCTCTTATGCATGAAATTTACAGCTTTTGAAAACCTGCTGGAGTGTTAGCCATTATTCTGACTCAACAGCAATGACAGAGAGATAGCATTGCTAGAAGTCAGAACTGACTCAATTGCAGTGAGTTTCATTATAGTTTGACCATAGTCTTTATGTTCTATTGTTCCTTTGACAATTTCAAACTATTAAAAGTAATGTTGTTGTTGTTGTTGTTGTTGTTATTGCTTACCATCGAGTCAGAACCAACCTATAGAAACCCTCCAGTGGTTATTCAGAAGCAGTTAATAGCACAGAAGGAAATGGCCCAACCTTTTCCCATGGATCGGTTGGTAGATTTAAACTCTGTGACTTTGGGATTGGTAAATTGTATCAAATATACACTATCATGTTAAGTTATTAATAACATACAAATATTTAAAGATTAAATAATTACTTACCAAAACAACTCCTGCAGAATAACGACTATCACACATCTTCCCAGGAAATGCTGCTCCAACATAATCTGGATTATCCCTATAACTAAATAAATAGACAGAGGTATTGTAATTAATTGAATGCAACAACTTAAGTGTGATAATTGTTTCTAATATTTTATGTTTGCAATTTAATAAAGTCCTAATGTGAAATATTTCCATTTGCCTTTAATAGTTTCAATGTGGAAAATATTCTTAACTAAATTAATCACACTGGATTAAATATTCTTTACATTTATTTTGGGATACCAAAGCCTATAACCAAATATTTTGGTCAAAACATTTTTAAGAACAAATATTTTTAAGTATGGAGTACTTGTCAAATCAATATACACTCAACCAATTAATACACAATAATATAAAATTCTAAGACAGCAAAAAAATTTTAACACACACAGAGGCCAAGATAACTAAAAAAACCAAAAACAAAAACAAAAAAAATAAAAACAAAAAACCCAAAATACAGGGCTAGAAAACTATCCAGAGGAATAGAAAGTAATAAAATTACAATGTGAGGAATTTTAAAGAAGCATTTAAAGAAAACGTAAACAAATTAAGAAAATAATCAAGGCAAACACAGATGAAACCAATAAAATCATAGGCAAAATGAAGGATGAAATCCTGAGTTTAAAAATAAAGGGGGGAAGGAAAGGATGGGTGGATTAACTATGGTATGGTACAATTTGGGGGAGATGAGGAAAATTGGAAAAATCTAGTCAGAAAAACAATCTATTCAAATTTTGTAAATAAACTAGTATAATTTTAAAAATTAACTACCTCAAAAACTGTCTAAAGGAAGAAAGTAAAGAAAACATCAAGGAGACATACAGAAACATAACCATAAACAGCACAATTTGGACATTTTGAACTCAGCACAGTTCTGTCATTTTGAACTCACTTCAGCTCAGTATGGGGACTTTAGAGTGCAGTGATATCCATACTAGAGGTTAGCTGATGACAACAAAAATGTGTTGACCTTGGTACCAGCAGCCAGAAAATAAAAAGAAAAATTGCATTGGAAAAATCTTCTGTCAGGGACCTCTCCAGAATACCGAAGAGCAAGGACATCAGTCTAGAGGCTAAGGTGTGCTTGCTCCAGGCCATAGTCTTTATAATTACTTGCTATGAATCAGAAAGCTGGACAATGACTAGGGATGAAAGAAAAAGAATTGATGCCTTTGAGCTGTGGTGTTGGAGTACTGAATATACTGAACATGGACTGCCAGGAGAACTGACGCCTTTGAGCTGTGGTGCTGGAGTATTGAATATACTGAACATGGATTGCCAGGAGAACAATCTGATTAGTCCTGAAGAGGATGTCAGAGACTATAAGGTTGGCACAGGATAGAACAGGTTTCAGGGCTATTGTATGTGGGTGGTTATGAGTCACAAACAACTCAACAGCACATAACAACAACAAGAATCATGTGTAATAATATCAAGTGGAATAGCTTACTTTTTGAATAAAGTTTTTCAATTGTGATTTTAACAAACGTTTACAGAAAAGTTAGATAAACATTCATTTTTTATTGCACATTTTACCCCCTCTCCCTTTTTCCTTTCCCCTAGTTCGCCTTTTCTTGTTTTTTTAAATAGCTTACTTGGGATTGGAATTCCCAAACAGAAACAAACAAAAACCAAAAAGCACTGAAAAATTATTGAAAATTTGCTAGAAGAAAACTTACCAGTGCAATGAAAAATGAGCAAATATGCATTCAAAAACCTGAGCAAAGCTCAAGCACAACAGAGTCAAGAGAAAGACACATATTTTTATCATAATCATATTGTCCAACATTAAAAGCAAAGAATACTGAAGTAACGTGGAAAACATGAAGAGTATCCACAAGGAGAACCAATGAGATTAACCTCCAATTTACCAGTAGAAACTATATAGGAGTGAAGGCAAAGTAATGACAGATACAATGCTGTGAAACAGAACAACTGGCAGTGGGAATTATATACCAAAAAATGTTCCAACAAAAAGGATGGCAACATTAAGAAAAGTACAGAGAATAGGAAAATGAATAGAATTTGTGAAAACTCTATATTTGTTCCCATTCCAAAGAAGGGTGACCCAATTGAGTGTGGAAACTACAGGACAGTGTCATTGATTTCACATGCAAGCAAGATTCTACTGAAGATTATCCAAAAACTATTAGAACAGCACATCAGCAGAGAACTTCCGGAAGTCCAG